AATCAAGTGTAAAGAAACCCATGTTATTCTCTCCTTATTAAAAAAAACCCCAAACCACCACCACCACCATATAAAACAAGTCCTAATGCTCTTTCTGTTCAAACATTCCTTTATCCATTTTACTTACAAGCGAACGTTAGTCTCTGTAGCTATCTTGAAAGAGATCAAGTAATCAGAAGCAATCATCAACCTAAGCATTTCCTCTGCCTTGAGCAATGACTGTACTGGTTCATTTTAGAACAAACCCACCATTCAACTTGGTCTATAACAATTTATCTTAAATGACTCAAAGTAACCATGACATTCTTTCTATAAGCAGTATAGCTAAACATAATTTAAAGTATAAAGCAAAATAAGAGTCTAATAGATGTTACACATTTTAATATTCTATTTGCTTGTAAAAAGCTGACATCCGTATAATCAACATAATTTAAAATATCAAAGGCTTCATTTAATCTTAGATAACCTCAGTTTACATCTTGTGTTTCACAAGTGGCACTGCTAGGTGCAGACCTAACCATTTTCGTTTAGACAGCTGTGAAATGATTTTTAATAATAAAAATCACCTAGTAATAATCACCTCAGATTTTTAATTCTAAGTGTAAGAGGTTTAAAAAAAAAAAATCAAACTATGTAAGGTTATTAAAAGTAGTTCAGTTCTTCTTGCTGTTAATTGTCATGTTCTCACAGAACTTATCAGTAAGAGAAACTACTACAGCTAATTTATTCAAAAACAGACTTTAGAAGATGTATAGATTTGTAACACCGCATATACTTCCTTTAATACTTTCCAGAAGTTATTTTAAAATGAATACAAGTTTTGTAAAAGATACAATTAAACATTCTCATGCTGCTCTGAGAACCAAAACTTTATGGCAGTTGGCATATTAGAGGGGGAAGGAAAAAAAACCTTAATAATATAATTCATCGTGCAAAGTAATCCCAAAGAAAAAGGAAAACAAGGGTTATTTCTTGAATTATCTAAAATGTCATTAGAAAGACACAGGAAGAGATTTCTTAAGATAGGCTTTTTATTGTTTAGGTGCAATCATAAAACCCTCACAAAAGTAAGAGCTAATTGACAAGGCTGGGGGGGGGGTCATTATTATAAAAAAATCACCTTATTACGATCTCAACTAGATGCATTACAGATGATTTCTTTAAATAAATCAAGACAAAAGAAACTAACACAAGAGGAAAACCACCCTCAGGGTTTTTTTGCACCATTACACATAGTATCTGTTCAATTTTAGGAAACTAGACCAACTACTAGAAACATTTACAAGTTACAGAGCATTTGTTAATGGAAAAGAAAACAAAATTAAAGATAACCCACCCAAGTCTGGTGTTTTCAATTAAGCAAAATTCCTTATTACACACCCACTAAATATAACAGGAATTTTACTTAAGAATTCCATGATTACACACAAAGCGTAAAATCTTAACCCCACCAAAATAGAGAGAAAACTCCCATCTGACTTCAATAGAACTAAGATCCACCATAAAGAGTCACATTGTTATTGGGTGTAATCTGTCATAAATACACTGGACTAAGTAGTTTACACTATACGAGAGAAATGAGTGTAAATGTCTCCATAATGAAAACCACACAAAGTTCGTAAGTTTTTAAGCAAAAAAGCGGTCATAATTGAAGAACAAAGACTAATTATCAGCAAGTAACAAGTTTTAACCAACCAGTAACAGTATTATTTTATTTACACATCAGATGAAGGCAAGTGTTTCTCCAATTCTTAAATATTTGCACACTTTCAGAACACAGTAAAACTAAACGAACCGGTAATTTCGAGCAACCTTTTAATTTTGCTGTTTTGACAGCAGTTGTGGATGCACTCGCTTGCTCTTGCCACGACAAGATAATATGGACAGGGATCTCCGCAAGCACAGCACTCCCTACAGCAGGGGCAAGTTACTGATAGCAGGGAGACAAGCTACACGTGAAAACCAGCCACCTTTAAATGATACAAGTAATTTCGCTTAAAACACTTATCCACGCAAAAACACATCTACTGCTACAGACCATCAGGAAGAATTCAAACTGGTTTTTTACATGTATTTTACACAAATCGAAATATTAACTTACTGAGAAGGTAATTACAAGGAGCTCATTGGCATACCCTGTATCTCTGAGATTCTCCTGTTCTAAATATTAAATATATGTGGATTCTCCATTGTCTTAAAATTGCTAGAAACCTCTCTTGGTTTTTGAAGAAGCTTTGAAGAAGTTAAGCTTCTCACTTTGCTAATATAGTTAAAAACAAAATTTGAAAAAAGTGCAAACAGCTAAGTAAACAATGCTGATCATATATAAGCTATCTCTTGTGCAAACCATTAATTTTTACAAAATTAGATTCTCTCAAATCTACCTGAATTACTACCGTGTCAAAATAATCTTGCTTATGCTCAAAATACAGTTTTCTTTAAATTGCATAAGTGTTTCTCTGTAAAAGATGAAATTCTTAGCAGGCTCCCAAATCACAAGCCTGCAATTCAAATACACTGGCACAATACTTGGTGATCTTTTTAGACAGTGGCAGGGGTCCTTCTGTAAACAAACTTCGGTGTGAAATCCCAATGAAAACCAAAAGAGAAACTAGGAAATTTGCAAAAGTTAATGACCTGATTCGACTTACACCAGTAAAGTCCTTTGTGATACATGCCTCCTTCCCCACGCTACGACTGCTTCAGTTTGCCTGCCACAAGTGCAATTAACCCGAAACCCCGATTTTGGTACCTAGCCCTGCACACTGCAGACTGATGGTGGTCGTGTGAGGCTTTTCCTTACCGCCTGGGCCTGACACCAGCTGCATTAATCCCCGAGCCCCATCACCCAGCAGGCATGCACGCTCCTCGGGGAAGCGGGGAAGACAGCCAGCCTTGCCTCCTACAGCCAGAGCAAACCTCAGCCAGCTTCCCCGCACCACTTCTCCATGGGGTCTGCGTTTAAAAGCTTACGGGAAAGAGGAAAAATAAATATGCATGCAGATTAAATAGTGAAATAAGGCAAGCCTAGAACCTCCCTTTGGCAAATGTGCAGCAGAACTGAACCCTCTCCTCTGCATGCCACCGTGCACCCAGTGAACGCGGCGATGCTCACTGCCCTCTCCTTTTGTTCACCCGATGGCAAGGACAGCAGTCGGTTCCCCCTGCTTCTCTGACTGACCGGCTCTTTCATTCCCGCTTTTCACCTGGATGGTGATCGTGCTCCCACCCACTCCCGGTTTTCTCGGTGCCCCCCACCCCCCTCTTAGGGTCAGCACTTTGGGGAATGCTGTGGAAATAGCTCTTTCCCAACAGGGGGCTTGGTTTGCAGCTGGGGCTGTAGGTGGCTCAAGAAAAACTCCTCGTTTCTGTGAAAAGTCACTCTGCAAAGCAAGGGGTGTGATAGTTTGTTGGTGCCCGGGACCAAGGCTGGACACGGAGAGCGGTAACTGCAGCACCCGCACCCCTCCAGGTCAAGCCACAGGGATCCTGAACATGACCCCAGCAAAACTAAAAGCAACAGACAAGTAACGCGCTGCCCTCAGCCCTTCCAGTCATTCAGAATAAGCGTTCATCCTTTCAAACTCTGACATTTCATTCAACAATCCTCTCGTCTTAATTAGGTTCAAAGCTTGCTCCGCAAACGGTGAATCTCTCATCTTTTCCATCTTCCTGTACTTCCTATCAAAAGAGAAAATATTTTCTTCTTCAAAATCAACTAGCTACTAAGAAAAAAGAAAAAAACTGCAAGTGGCTCTCACAAACTCTCGCTGTTTGCTTACTGTTGATGACCTCTATCAGCACTGTGAATACAGAAGCAATACCTATTCACCTCCAAGCAACTGCTTTTACGAGGTATGTCATTTTACCGAGTTAGACCCATAAACACATATTACAGCTATACATGCATATGGGTTTAAAATACCATGTCTTGCATAAATTCAAGAGCAAAGAGAATCCCTGCGGTGTCTCATCATTAACTTTTCATCCCTGACAGACTGGCTGTTCTGCGCCCTCCTCAACCAGCCCCCAGTTGTGTACAAATTCTCACTTGCTAAGAGGAGGCAGGCTGCTATTTTGGGGGGTGGGGTGGAGGTGGGGGTGCATTTCTTTGTTTTGTTTTTTAAAACAGCAAAACTAGCACCTCAACAAAGGAACAGCTACATAATCAAATCCCAAATTCTCTCTCACCCCAAGTTTCAGATTTCTTGGGTTTGCTGTTGTCTTTGAACACCCAGCATTTGCAATCTGTATAAAAAGCAAGGCAACCAACTGGTCATTCGGGCTGGGACTGAGCTGCCAGCTGGAACGCAGTTAGGCACCACCATAGGGTGGGCCTTGAAATGAAATGTGTGATACAACATGCAACAGCTCATGCCTATAGTGAATTCTGGAAATAATTATTATTTTTTTAAAATTCACATTCCATGCTCACCATGATTTACTGTTAAAACTTTTGCGAGAAGTAAGATATTTCAAAACCAAGATATTAAATTTATCCTTCTCATTTTAGTAGGATTGACCTTCCCAGCCAGAGAGCCAAGGATTTTTTTTTGTAATCTGATGTCCTCAGTCCAACAACCCTGTTTTTTAACTCCATCGTTTTACATTTTTAAATAGCATTTAGAAGCTGCATTAACATAAACTATTTTGGTCACATTTTCCAAACACTTTCCAAAATCTTACATAAGAAAACTCTGAAATACAGCCCAAACATAGCAACCGTGTAAACATCAGCTTCTGTTGGGGTACCCAGAAGTATACACTTGTAATAATAGCACAGAATTCAAACGTGAAGAAATATCCTGAAATTTAACTTTTTCTCACACAAAGAGCCAGCGAGTTCCTCCAAGACCGTTTATTCCAGGACGTGTCGGGGGGGAAAAGAAATCTTTAAGAAAGCGAGGAGGGACAGGGCCCTACCCCACACCACACAACCCCGCGGCGAGGAACAAACACCAAGCACAAACACGCGGTGGCACAGGCACTCTCAGACGTAGCTACTCACCTTTCACAGCACTCGCTTCTTTCAGGTTGTGAGACAGAAAGTCTATGCTGGCATAGGTGCTCATCTCCACGCCGTTGACGCCGCCGTTCAGGACGTGCCTGGCTCTCGACCTGGCTTTGTCACAGTTTGCCAGGGTCCCGTCCACCACGTCGATGGCGATGTAGTTGAGGCCGTTCTGGAAGCCAGCCGAGGTCTCCCGGCACATGGGGCTGCTACCCTGCTCCTCCTCCAGGCCTTCGCTTTTCCTGAGGGACACGTTCTCCACCGAGGCCGAGTTGTGCCGTTTGGGGTTGTGTGCGAAGGAGGGGGACACGGGGGTCACAGTGGTGGTGGAGGAGAAGGTTTCCGAGCTGTGCCTCCTGCGCCCCTGGGGATCCGCCCGGATGACCTTGGCCCCCCGGTTGGGGTCCGGGGGAGGGCTGGAGAGGATGAAAGCCTCCACCCCGGAGAGGGTGAGCCTCTTCACCCCAGCCGTGGGGCTGTCGACCCGGGCACTTTCTGGCTTCTGAACGATGGGTTGGGGTGGGGTGGTGGCCATGCCAAAGGTCATCTCGGTGTAATCCCCGCCATCGGACGGGCTGGACGAACAGGCCACCCCCACAGCCGCCTTCAGGTAGCGCCCCTCGGGCTGGCTGGTGCTGGAGGAAGAGCCCGGCGAGAGCGCTTCCAGGGAGCCCACCGAGACCGTGCCCGACTGGGAGGGCGACTGCGACCCGAAGTCGATGTTCATGTAGTCAGAGAGTGGGGAGCGCCTCTGCCCCGTGCCTGAGCCCAGGGAGGAGGCCGGGCTGTCGGCGGGCAGCGAGGGGGGCGAATAGACGGCGGCATCCCCGAAGTCGATGTTGATGTACTCGCCGGGGCTCTTGGGCTCGGGCGGCAGAGGGTGCTCGTTCATGCTGGGCAGCATCGTCCGCAAGGTCTCCAGGGAGAGGCGGCTGGGCCGGGCCGCCCGCTGGCACCGCTGGCTCAGGAAGCTCTCGGTCCGGCTGTGCCGCAGGGGCGAAGGCACCGTGTGGCTGCAGGGGGCGAAGGTGCCGGCGGGCGACCGGCCCGCTCCGCACACCGCCTCCTCCGGGATCGTCCTCCCCGGGGAGTTCATGAAGACGTACTGGTCGCTGTCCTTCGCCGGGCCCTGGCTCTTGTAGGAGCGGGGTAAGGAGCTGTACGAATAGCAGCCGGGCTTGGGGGGCTCGCCGGGCCCGTGCCCTGAAGGGGCGAAGAAGAAGTCCGGGGGGGTGAGGGAGGGAGCCTGGGGCCCGTGCTGGGGGTCCCGAGGGGACATGTTGATGTAGTCGCCGCAGCTCAGCCTCCCGTCCGAGCTCTCCACGGAGAGCCTGGAGCCGCACCACATCCGCATGTACCCGCTGTCGTCGGGGGAGCTCTCCCCGGGCGAGCTGGTCTTGTAGCCGCTCCTGTTCCCCGGGGACCCGCCACCCAGCCCCGCCCGGGGCTGCAGGATCTGCTTGGGGGCGGACACGCTGGTGGGGCTCATGGGCATGTAGTCATCGCCGCCCCGGCTTCCCTGGCCCAAGGCGGCGGCCACGCCGGGGGTCATGGGCATGTAGCCGTCGTCATCTCCCCCCCCTCCTCCTCCTCCTCCACCCGCTGCCGGCGGCCCCAGGTTGGTGCTGCTGCTGCCGGAGCTGCGGTGGGAGCCGATCTCGATGTCCCCGTAGTCCTCGGGGTAGGGGGTGTAGGTCACTTTGGGGGAAGCCCCGGCTTGGCAGGAGGGGAAGAGGCGGCCGGCGCTGCCGGCGAAGGTGGCGCGCATCAGCGTGTACTCGTCGAGGGAGGCGGAGGAGACCTGCGGCGGGGGGGGCCGCTGCCGGCACGGGGTGGTCAGGGAGTAGGTCCGCTTCCGATGGCCCCGGTCGGCCGCGGCGTCGGTGCAGGGCCGGTAGCAGAGGCGGCCGCTCGGGGGCCGCTCCATCGCCATGTAGCCGTAGAGGTCGGTGCCGCCCCCGGGGTCCCGCACCGGGGGGGTCTCGGCCACCGACTCGGGGGTGTTGCTGCGGTTGCTGGCGGTGGAGGAGGAGGAGAAGGGCCGCAGGTCGCCGCCCGGGCTGGAGCCGTACTCGTCGAAGGACATGAAGCCGGCGTCGCTGGGGGAGCCGGAGACGGAGGCGCTGCCGCTGGACGGGCGCTGCGGGTGATGCGGGGGGGCCGCCTCGGAGCCCAGGCCGCTGCTGGAGGAGAGGCTGACGGGGCTGGTGGCGGAGGGGGGCGAGTGGGAGGCGGGCATGGACATGGAGCGGCTGCTCTGCAGGCCGCCGCCGGCCAGCACCGGCAGCAGCTTCCCCGCCTG